CATGCTGTGCAGTCGTTGCGCTACGAATATTGATCTTTACTACTAACGAATTGAAGCATGTAATGAAATTGTATAATATACAGCTGTAACTGTTAACAGTATGGCGCTGAAGTTACTGCAGCCCCCAGCAGACTTTCAGCAGTCTTCAGTGTCTCATTTACTGTCAGTCTTTAGTGCTTAAGCGTGAACTGCAGCTATGTAAGAAAGAGACATAACTGCAAATAAAAATTCATGTTATGTGCGATTATTGTTTCTCAAGCAAATAATCATTCATATTTGTGTTATTTTTTCCTTCCTTTTCTTCATCCCAGTTTGAACTTCTTTTTGAAAACTAGATTTTACCTCCAAAATATGAATCTCTTGCTGGATAGAACCGTATTTGAGATAAATGCATCATAAGCACCCTCCATTCTCTGCGCCGACATCCCAGCTTATCAGTTCATTAAACTATGCTGCGAAGTTGCTATCCGCAAAACTGTCAAATTCGGAGAGAAAGGAAAAAGACGTTATGAATAAAGGACAAGGAAACCAACACAGAGGTAAAACTACGAGCAAATCTGCGGTATAGAACTATGGCATGAAAAAATTCATATTGCCTTCAGTATTCAAATTTTTGCTAACGTTGCAGCATCAAGCTCGGCCTGCTCTTTGAATTACCAAGTAGTGCAGTCAGAAGTTTTGGCTTAGCAAATTGCCAGAATACAGACAACTTAAACGCTTTAAATCGCGCTTATTGAACGTTAGAATGGATTACCAATCTTGGGATTTAACAGCTTGTGTGCGTATCGACCATAAGTTGATTAGAAGAAATATAAACGCGAAAGTTTAGCGGCCTGTAATTGACATCGAGGCCAAATTTGTTTTGACATTCAATAAACGCTTTACCTCTTTCTGTGACTTGGTTATTCAGCAAGCGTTATATCAGCCGTGCTCATATGCATATTTGCACCTGCTGTAATGCCACACTAGCGAAACATCCCATGGCATTCTCTGTCTGACTACTGCATGTAAGGCTGCGTGGGTTTATTGGAAGGTACCTAAGGGATGGAAGTGCAGTCTAATCTTATTTGGGCCAGTAAGATGGTATAAAGAACTTTGATGCCGTTACCTCTGTTTAACCTACCAATAAAGTCCATGCAAAATGCTTGGCAAGGTAGATGCCGAAAAATGGTAAAAGAGAAGGCTCAGGGTAAAAAATGTAGTTTCCGTCTTACGGCAACACAGTGGCTCAGATCTTTACTCTGCGTTAGGTATGGGAAAATTGTTGGCAGTACATGATGCTAAGTCCTGCCAGCTTCGTAGCTCTAGAATAGGCTTATGACGTGGTGGATCGGTCGAAGCTATTTTGTACTGCGAGAATTTGGAATGGATGTTAATC